TTGGCAGTCAGACCAATGGTATCACAGTGGACCACCTCAAGGCAGCTTAATGTGACTTAGACCGGCCTCTCAGTTTGGCTACAGTCCTCCTGTCACCACAGTGGCAAGCAGGCCTGGGATCCCAGCTAAGCTAAGCTGAAATGTAATCATCACTACCTCATTGTTTGATCACTGTATGATCTTGTGAAGAGCTCATTGTACTGAGTGCTATCTCAAAGTAATTAGCTGTGGGAGTCAGAGGAATCGACAAATCACCGGTTTGTAAATACGAGCAAGTCCAACAGCCTTTCTCAAACGGATCCCTCCCTAACACTTCAGTACAGACTGAGACTCCATATAAAGACACAGCTGTGGAGAGAACATCTGGTTGAGAGAGGGTATAAATACATGCTTTAGGATCTGTTCAAGTGTTTTTAGCTACATTTATAAAACATGTTTACAACACTGACACGCAAGTCTTTGTAAAACCGTTTTTGACATTATTTTTGGTGGCTCAATCAAATTTCAGCTTTGAGCTGTGATCTCTGTGATTTTTAATAATATGTTTTAATAAATAATAATAATCCTGTTAATAATAATAATCCTATTGTAAAGCTTTTTTTGAAGGCAAAATGTTTTGCTGAATAGCAATTCTTTGAATTTTTAAGCAGCAGCACTGAATTTATTTATTAATATGTAATAAAAGTGCTCTTGGTCTCTTTAAAAACAAAGCAAGCTGTGCACTGTAAAAACTGTCAACTTTACATTTGACCTGCATTTTAATAACTTAAAACTTTCCAGTTCAGTAACATTTTGTTGATTACTTTTTTTTTCTAAAACACCAATGAGTTTATGGTGTTTTCAATGGTAAAGTGAAATAATACATATCAGTTATTGCTGATTTACATGTTCCAGAGCAAAATACATAACACTAAGTTTCAGTTAATGACTAACCACTGTACACTATATATATTTGAGTCTACCACTTAATCCCAAGAAGACAAAGGAAGCCTGTTAAGGATGAGAGTTGTTTCTCTGCTGGTGCTGCTGTGCTGCAGTTTGTTGGAGGGACAGTCGGTCAGTGTGAAGGACATCACTCTGAGTCATTATGAAGGCAGAGAGAACCAGATTCAGGCTGAGGATCCCAGAACTGAACCTCCAGCCACAACCTCCACCCAACAAAGCTGCCAGCCGGACATCCACTCTGTACTGAGAGAGATGAGCGCTATGCTGGCAGAGCTGAAAGTTGAGCAGAGACACACGACGACTGCGGTGAACAGCATGGAGAGCAGACTGAGAGCCAGTGAGAGTCAAATGGAGGAACTGAGAAATAATATGGAGGAGCAGAGTCAGAGAAATGAAGTTAAGTCATTGAACATGTTTCAGTCTTAATCAAACTCAGAGGGAAGTCAATTTTTGTCTCAATCTCTTTCGTGATTTGCTTTATATATTTCTACCTTTTTTATATCTGTCTATTACAAATTATGGAAAAAAATGCTCACAAAGTAATAATAATATGATGTCAAATATTCATATTCTTGTTAGCTTAATCACATTTCTTAAACTAAAGGTGCTAAAAATCAGCAATTTGATCAATATGAAAGTTTAATTGCATTCTATGGATTTCCAAGTGTAAGATTTATTGAAATATAAATTAGCATTCAGCATTTTGCATGTATAATTTATCATTCCCATATCAGTCCTTCATGAGAAAGGGTGGGTAGAGGATTGGGACGTTGCATTAGTGTCAGTAAATAATGCCAACGTTTAACAACAATGTTCCCCAATGAGTGATTACAAGGATACAAGAATTTTAGGTATTTCACCCTCTACAGTGTGTAATATCATCAAAAGTTTCAGGGAATCTGGACAAATCTCTGTGCATAAAGGACAAGACTGAAAATCACAGATGAATGCCCATTACCCTTGGACAGCACTGCATTATAAACCAGCAAGTTTATGTGATGAATATCATCATATGGCCTCAAAAATACTTTGACAAACTGTTGTCAATAAACACCATCCATCACTAAAATGTATCCAAAAATGTAGGTTAAGACAGTACTATGCACTGTGGAAGTCCTATATCAACAACATCCAGACATCCAGTGTAACGACATCCAGATTGTTACCAGCCTAAAGTTAAAAATCCAGAGTCTGTCATGGTGTGTGTGGGGCGGGTATTTGTGGGTAACTTGCACATCTGTGAAGAAACCATTAACACTGACAGATATATACACATTTTGGAGAAGCATATGCTGCCTTCTAGATGACATCTTCTTCAGGCTCATCCAGGCTTATTTTATGTTGTAACAGTTTGACTGCATAATCAGAGAGGGTGGCTGCTAGACTGGTCTGCCTGCTGTCCAAACCTGTCTCCCAGTGAAAATATGTAACACATTTTATATTGCAAAATATAACACCGGAAGCCCCAGACAGTTTCACAGCTGAAGAGGATTAGGATAACAAACAAAGAAAAGAATAAGGCAAAGCAAACATTATATCAGCTTCAATACTGGTGACTCTTTCTGCAAAAAGTAGTAGTCTTTTGACTAGGAATTTAAGATTGTGGCTTTTACATGCAATTTGTGTCATCACGTAAATATTCAAACAATGTTTTAATGTAATGAACAAGAACTAATGTCAGTTTTACGTTAATTTACTAGCAGTGTAAAATGTTCAGTTTCTTGCAGAGAGAAGAGGGGCATTTTCAGCATCACTCTCAGGAGGTGAAACTCGTAATACTGGACCATACAGCACTTTATTTCCTCTGGTCTACAAACACGTCTTCACCAACATCGGCAAAGCTTACAACCCAGTTACAGGTAATATTTGTAAACATTCATATTCTGTTATATGTATAGTATAACCATTCAAACTTTTTTTATTTGCACAGTATAATGTTATAATTCATAGTTTTATAGGATCAGTGACAAATGAGGATGGTCAAAGTTAAAAAAAAACCTTCACCTTCAATGAGGTGGGAATAAAATATTTAAAAGACAGTCTCTCCCAAAGTCCTCTGTGATCAGAAGTGTAGGGGAGTCAGAGACTTGGACTATGACTGGAGAAGGCACAGAGGCTTGGCCCTGGTTTGGATAGTGTGGGGTCTGGCTTGGTGTCTGTCGAGGTACCTGTTGTGGGAGAGAGAGAGCAGAGGAGAGAGAGATTACTGTGACACTCTGCTGGAGTCTCCTCTCCAACTATGGCTGGAAAGGCCCTTTTTGCTCAATCCTGGCGGTGTGCCACCTGTCCTTGTTAGTGGTTGCCAGCCATGTGTCATTCGTAGGCCTGTCCCATCTCCGCACATGTCAGCACTGTGGTCCTGTCATTGAAAAGTCAGACCTGAGAAAAGGAAGGCAGGAGAGGCCACTGGCGTTCCAATGGCATGGCCCAGATTGATGTTTTACCTGAAAATCAAAATCGTGTAGGGCCAGGAACCACCACATGACTCTGGCATTGGAGTCCTTTGCCTGAGCCATACACTGTAGGGGAGCACCAGTCAGGTATTTTTTTCTCATTATGCACTCGCTTACATCACAAAAGCTTCCATCTCAACTGCAGCATACCTTTGTTCAGCTTGGTTCAGTTTTTGGCTGATGTAAAGTACGGGACGTCAAAGTCCTGAGAGAGGACCGCTTCCAGGAACATGCTGGAGCCATCTGTCTGCTCCACAGATACATATATACACACCGATCAGGAATAACATTCTGACCACCTCCTTGTTTCTACACTCATTGTCCATTTTATCAGTTCCACTTACTATATAGGTGCACTTTGTAGTTCTACAGTTACAGACTGTAGTCCATCTGTTTCTCTGATACTTTGTTAGCCCCCTTTTACCCTGTTCTTCAGTGGTCAGGACCCCCATGGACCCTCACAGAGCAGGTACTATTTGGGTGGTGGGTCATTCTCAGCACTGCAGTAACACTGACGTGGTGGTGGTGTGTTAGTGTGTGTTGCGCTGGTCTGAGTGGATCAGACACAGCAGTGCTGCTGGAGTTTTTAAAGACCTCAGTGTCACTGCTGGACTGAGAATAGTCCACCAGTCAAAAGTATCCAGCCAACAGCATCCAGTGACCACTGATGAAGGACTAGAGGATGACCAACACAAACTGTGCAGCAGCAGATGAGCTATCGTCTCTGACTTTACATCTACAAGGTGGACCGACAAGGTAGGAGTGTCTAATAGAGTGGACAGTGAGTGGACACAGTGTTTAAAAGCTCCAGCAGCACTGCTGCATCTGATCCACTCGTACCAGCACAACACACACTAACACACCACCACTATGTCAGTGTTACTGCAGTGCTGAGAATGATCCACCATGTTTGTCACGTCAAAGGCACGTCTGTATTTCTTATTCAGAACACTGACAAAACAAAAAACTAACAACTTTGAGTCAGATGGGGAGGGGTTTCCTTTTCAACCCCCCAATAAAAAATCTCCTGTTTTACTTTCTTGTTCATTGATCAGGTGAAATCAATCATTAGACAGTATGTGTTCAGTGTGATCTTGTGATGCATGAATGACATTTTGATCGGCTATTTGAGACACTGGCAACTATTTTGACCAAGTTTCAAGTGAGTTGCACAACACTTTACATTATGCAACTCAAGTGCTACAAAGTATCATGTAAGTTTCATGCAACTAATGTTGCATGTAAACCAGCCTCACACACCCATTACTCCTAAGACCTAATCCAGTGTTAACAGTGGAGCTTGAAGAACTGTGTAAAATCTTGTTTCTTGTTGCTAAAAGTGAGATACAGTGACCCTCAGTGATGTTTTATTTTATGAGCACTTTTAGCTCAAGCAGTTAATCCGGGTTTTGTGGAAGACAAACTGAGCACCAGAGAGAGTCAAGTAGAAGATCTGATAAAATACTGAACTTGTGAGAAAAGCTTCCTTTAAACCAGACTCTAGTGACAGTAATCAGCCTTCACGTTTTAACTGCACCTCCACAAGAACACGTGCTGCTACCATGAAAACATCACGTTTACTTTGTTATATGATGTTTTCAAGGGCGAGATGAGATAAAACAGATCAGATCTTGAAGTTTATGTTAGAGAGAGAATAAAAGCGTACACAACATTATTACAACACAGTTAATGACTAACTAGTGCGCACTATAAATATATGCATCTATGAGTCTACCACTTAATCCCAAGAAGACAAAGGAAGCCTGTTAAGGATGAGAGCTGTTTCTCTGCTGGTGCTGCTGTGCTGCAGTTTGTTGGAGGGACAATCGGTCAGTTTGAGTCATTATGAAGGCAGAGAGAACCAGATTCAGGCTGAGGATCCCAGAAATGAACCTCCAGCCACAACCTCCACCCAACAAAGCTGCCAGCCGGACATCCACTCTGTACTGAGAGAGATGAGCGCTATGCTGGCAGAGCTGAAAGTTGAGCAGAGACACACGACGACTGCAGTGAACAGCATGGAGAGCAGACTGAGAGCCAGTGAGAGTCAAATGGAGGAACTGAGGAAGAAGGTGGAGGAGGAGAGTCAGAAAAATGAAGGTAAATTATTGAACATGATTCTGTTTGAATTAGAGATTAAATGAACTTGTAATATGTGAGAAATTGAGACGAATTTAATCCTGAATGGATTACAGGAATATTCTCTTATATCCAATTTTAAATGTCTTTGTTGAATTTCTGTCTGACAGATGAATTAATGTAAACATAAACTGCAGTTTTATGCATGTTCATATTCCCCTCCATAGTTCTCAAAAATTGTCAACATTCATTCTGTGCATTGACTCGAGACATTATGACTATAATAATAATGTTCTTTGTTGTTCAGAGGAACTGAAAGACTTGAAAACCTCATTCGACAGCCAGGTGGAGAACCTGAAGATGGAGAATCAAGGTAAGAATTTTCAATTTTCAACAGAATATCTGAGAGACTTGAGAAGAGAATGTGTATTTAGTGTGTTAGTTAAGGAATGTGTTACTACCAACTAAATTTAAACTGAATGATGATTTCTCAACAAATTACCTCAATTAGTGTGTATAATCAAACTTTACCTTCAGTCTACAAAACCAGACTTCCTAATATTACTTTCCATACTTTCCATTCAGTGTATGAAACATTGAACTACTTGTTAATATTGTGCGGCGCCACCTTCAGCTCAGAGAACAGCACCAGTTCATTGGTGGGATTCAACCACTCCAATGTTATACTGGCTCATGCTGATCTAAGTGCTTATTTGACTTTGAAATAAAAATAACCCCTTTGTTTTTGTTTCATTTATTACACTTTAATCCTTTTATCTGTAGCTCAAGCAGTGAATCAGAGTGTCATGGAGGCAAGATTTGGGTCTGAACTGGAAGAACTGAAGATGAAAAATAACGGTAACCATATAAAACTAGAGTCGTTTTTGTTGAATTTCCAATTAAAAATGAATTAAAGTAGGTATAAGCATTTGGCTTTGTGCATGAAGACAAAATAATGTAATATATAAACCAATCCCCCTGATAATTTTCAGAAAAAAAACTCAACTTTAGCCAATCATCTCATCCCACAGTTCCTAAACTGTGACATTCTGAATGAAGTTTTATCAAAATAAATGTTTATTCAATTAAGACGTGGACACTGATAGATAAACCATATTCTTTGTCATTCAGAGGAACTGAATGACCTGAAAAGCTCTTTAAAGATCACAGAAGGCCAAGTGAAGAACCTGGACAAAGAGAATCAAGGTAATCCATTAACATTTCCCACAGAAAGTTTGAGATGCATACAAATGTGGAAATGGGGACATCATTGTACTACAGTTTGAACCTCCTCACTATTATTCAACAAATACTTTAATATAATACACATATTCTGTTAGAGCGCCCCCTGCTGTTTATCAGAGCGTCCCACTCCCCAGTTTCAGTTACATTTCCCAAACATCTTAGCCGAGCGCGCTAACGTTATTCCTCCTAATAAACAGACGCACGTTCAGCTCCGTCTCCTCATTATTCAACACCAACAGGAGATAAGATATGATGCTGTAAGATTCTTAAATTAAGATCAGATTTGCTTCTGTAATATGAATTTGTGAAAATTCTTATCTTGACTTGTCAGATCTTAACTTAAGACAAAAGATAGGATGTTTCTGTAATACGGCTCCAGGTTCTGATGCTCTGTGTACACTAAAAAAGGATAGAGGGCCCGTTCAAGCCAGTGCCTCCACTCCTCAAGGTTTGATGGCTGGGAGGTCACTATTGCCCATATTGTAATGTCTCTCAGTCGGGGAAAGGTTCGCAGAGAAGGTGGTCACAACTTAGGGAGAACTCCTTGATGCCAGAACTGAAGAGCCCCCATTCTTACTTTAGAGGCATCCACTTCAGCAATGAAGGGCAGGGATGGATCAGGGTGATGGAGGATGGGTTGACTTGGTGAATCTTTGCTTGAGAGACGTGAATGACTCTTCTACAAACTGGAATTAGCAATAAACAAACAGAATACAGTTCAGAACAAGATGGGCTGTGAAAAGCTTTACAGACTGACTGGAACAGAACCACATTCAGGTTAATCTGTTTGAAAAACCTGAGCTGAACCTGATATTGTGGCTTTTACATGTAATACATGTAATTTGTGTCTTCAAGTTAATATTTAAACAATGTTTTAATGTAATGAACAAGAACTAATGTCAGTTTTTACATTATTTGACTAACAATGTAAAATGTTCTGTTTACTGAAGACAGAAAAGTGGTGTTTTCAGCATCACTCTCAGCAGGTGAAGCTGGTCATACTGGACCATACAGCACTTTATTTCCTCTGGTCTACAAACACGTCTTCACCAACATCGGCAGCGCTTACAACCCAGCTACAGGTAGTATTTGTAAAATATTATACTCTATTATATGTATAGCATAACCATTCACAATTATTTATTTGCACAGTACAATATTATAATGTAACATTGGAAAAAGACTTTCGGTCGGCCTCGAGGAGGTTCTGGACAACTGTCCGGCAACTCAGGAGTGGTCGGGGTGGCTGTATTCAGCAGGGGTGGAGAAACTCTGACTTCAAATGAGGATATTGTCGGTCGGTGGAAAGAGCACTTTGAGGAACTCCTTAATCCGGGTGACATGCGTCCCTCACGGGAGTCAGGGCCAGAGGCCTCTGGCGTGTCAAGCTCCATTTCCCTGGTGGAGGTCACTGAGGTAGTTGGCAAGCTCTTCAGTGGCAAGGCACCGGGGGTGGATGAGATTCGTCCAGAGATGCTTAAGGCTCTGGATATTGTGGGGCTGTCGTGGCTGACACGCCTCTGCAATAGTGCATGGACCTCGGGAACAGTACCCTTGGACTGGCAGACCGGGGTGGTGGTCCCTATTTTCAAGAAAGGGGACCGGAGGGTGTGTGCCAACTATCGGGGTATCACACTGCTCAGCCTCCCTGGGAAAGTCTATGCCAAGGTGCTGGAAAGGAGACTTCGACCGATAGTTGAACCTCAGATTGAGGAGGAACAATGCGGATTCCGTCCCGGCCGTGGAAAATTGGACCAGCTTTTCACCCTCTCACGGATTGTTGAGGGGGCATGGGAGTTTGCCAACCCAGTCTACATGTGTTTTGTGGATTTGGAGAAGGCTTACGACTGTGTTCCCCGAGATATCTTGTGGGAGGTCCTCCGGGAGTATGGGGTGCCGGGGTTACTACTCCGGGCCATTCAGTCTCTGTACGCCCGGAGTGAGAGCTGTGTTCGTATACTCGGAATTAAGTCAGACTCTTTCAGTGTAAGCGTTGGACTCCGCCAGGGTTGTGCCCTGTCTCCACTCCTGTTTGTGATATTCATGGACAGGGTGTCAAGGCGTAGCCGGGGTCAGGAGGGCATTATGTGTGGAGGCCGGAGGGTGGCGTCTCTGCTCTTTGCAGATGATGTTGTTTTTTTGGCTGGATCACATGGATGCCTCCAGCGCACACTGGAGCGGTTTGCAGCTGAGTGTGAAGCGGTTGGTATGCGGATCAGCACCTCCAAGTCTGAGTCCATGGTCTTAGCCCGGAAAAGGATGGTATGCCCACTCCAGGTAGGGGGAAAGGACTTGCCCCAGGTGGAGGAGTTTAAGTATCTCGGGGTCTTGTTCACGAGTGATGGGAAGAAGGATCGTGAGATCGACCGCAGGCTGGGACAAGCGGCAGCAGTAATGCAGTCGCTGTACCGGACTGTAGTGTGAAGAGGGAGCTGAGCCGTAAGGCGAAGCTCTCTGTTTACCGATCGGTCTACATCCCGACCCTCACCTATGGTCATGAGCTGTGGGTAATGACCGAAAGAATGAGATCGCGAATACAAGCGGCAGAAATGAGCTTTCTTCGCAGGGTGGCGGCTAAACTCTATTTGATAGGGTGAGGAGCTCGGCCATCCGGGAGGAGCTCGGAGTAGAGCCGCTACTCCTCCGCATTGAGAGGAGCCAGCTGAGGTGGTTCGGGCATCTGATCCAGATGCCCCCGGGACGCCTCCCGGTGGGGGTGTACCAGGCACGGCCTACCAGAATAAGACCCCGGGGTCCTCCTAGGACCCGCTGGAGGGATTATATCTCCAAGTTGGCCTGGGAGCGGCTTGGGGTCCCCGGGAATGTGCTGGAGGAAGTTGCGGGGGACAGGGTCACCTGGGATTCTCTGCTCTCCCAACTGCTACCGCGACCCTATCTGGACTAAGCGGTTAACGATGATGAGATGAGATGAATATTATAGTTTTATAGATGAATATATAGTTTTATGGGATAAGTGACAAAAAAGCATGGTCAAAGTTTTAAAAACCTGTACATAATTAATGTAGCCATGGCATTCATTTTGATTTCATGTTTCATTTTTAACAAAATCTGATCTGATAATCTGATTTAATAAACCTGTGCTGTAATTGTTAATAAACAAAATTACTGTGCTTTTCTTGCAACTTCAGAGTGTGAAAATGCATTTATTAATTACTAATCTGTCAAGAACAAATATATAATGAATGGAATCAATTTAGTGGGGCTGGACAGACTCACACAGAGTTCAGTTATGTAGGTTAACACTCTGAATTTATGGAGGGGGAAATTCTTATACATATTTCAATTCAATACGCATTTTATCTCCGCCACTGTGAAATGGTACACTCCTTTTTCGGTTCCTAGATAACGGTTCTAGAGATGGAATAATGGCGGTGGTGTTTTCACCACAAATAGATAGTAATCGCAAAGAACAAACACTGTTTTCCCCACATACTGACTGCTCAGACACAGGGATTAGATAAAAATAAGCACACAAGCGATTTCTCTCCAGGATTTAGTGGGTACGCATCTGATTTGTTCATCCCTTCAATGGAACTATGGCAAACAAAGGTCACTATGAGTTCAGAAACCCCAAAAGCGATGAGCAATCAGTCATTTGGGCAACAAGAGGCGAAAACTCGCTGCCAGTGTGATGCAGGACAAAGGGGGGGATTTTTCCCCATTCTCACCATATATGCTATTTTACCAATATTTGACCCTTTAATAGGAATTTTCACTGCACCTGTGAGAGGAGTCTACCAGTTCAGATTCCACATCTACGGAGCAAGTGGAAGAGTTGTAGCAGCGGTCCTACATAAGAATGGACATCACATAACTGGAGCATATGCTTATCAAGACCAGCACGTCGTGAATTCCTCTAATGGAGTCTCACTGTTACTGGAAGTAGGAGACGTCGTCTCTATTAAACTCCACTCTAATTCATGGATATATGATAATTGGTTTCATCACAGCACCTTTAGTGGTCAAATGCTGTTCTCTGTTTGAGCAGCTCATCATTAAATATTCGATGGAAAAGCGAGTAGAAAATGTGTTCCATGTATAAATGCTGTATACATGTGTATTCATTGTTATTTATCATGTGTTTCTCTTCTTTGTTTCTCATTTCCGGCTGTTCTTTCACATGATTTTTATTCACTGATAACAGAATGTTTTTTTACTATCCTTTTAGCCAGTGTACCTTCTTGTCCTGTCATTGTCAAAGGAAAAAAGGAATTCACTCATAATAAACCTTGCTTATGTAACAAAGCGCATAATTTATCTTTTTTAAATAGCAGTTTTTGACCTCTGAGTAATTCATATTACTAGGAAATGTGAATTGACTCCATGAAAAATAAACATTGAGTTTGTAAGCAGTAAAACGTGGTTATGATGGATTATGTTGACCAAGAACACAAGAGTTAAAAAGTAGCTGATAGAAGTTACTGCACTTCTGTTATCAGAGAGATTTTCCACTTTCAGACTATCATGTGATCAAAGTTGGCTCGTGTTGATGCGGCTCTTCAGTTCCACTAATAAACACCTGCATCACACATGTTCATAAAATAGATACTACAGAGGTTATTTATAGTGTTTCCTCCCTGGACAGAGAAGCCAGAGTGCTTCTCTTCACACTGAGATATCTTTAATATTAAAATATCAGTTCACTATTAATACAGAACAACATCCTACAGGCCACAGTAGTTTTCAGTACCAGACCTTGTTTCATGTAGCTACTGAGTTGAGTCGGCTGTCTACAAACAGGTAAACCAATAAAGTGTTGAAGACTGTGGCCTCCAGGACTGGAGCTGTGCGCCGCTGCATTAATGGGGTGATTATTACTCGTGAACGCACCACTAACACTGTGACCCAGCAAAACCACACTGTTAAAAGTGAGAGATCAGCTCAACTCAAGATGATACAGTAACTGATCACATGGCTTTTCTTGAGTTCACTCAACATGAGGACACAAGAGTTCACACAACTCAAACTTCTTAGCTGAGTCAAAATTTCTCTTAATGTTTTAGTTCTGCATCTCAGTTCAGTAAATAAAATGAACTTGTTGTTTATACTCAACTTCCCCACCAACCAGGACTCTTTCATCACACAATCCTGCTAGACGTCTTTTCTTCTTAGGTATGCACTTATGAGTGGCTATGGCATCGCTGGGGCTCAAACTCAGAACCTCCTGCACCACCCAGGAACACATGAAGTGTCCATATCTGTCCATATCCAGAAGCCTAAGAGGAAAATATGCCAGGTTGGACTGTGTGATGGAAGGAGCGCCAGCTAGAGGGAAAACTGAGTAAAAAAACCCAAATTCAATTTTGTTTATCTAACTGAGATGCAGAGCTAGAAGCAGTAGCTGGGTTTGAGTTGGGTGAACTCTGGTGTCCTCAAAGTGAGTCAACTCAAGAAAAGCCATGTAATCAGTTACTATATCATTTTAAGTTGAGCAGACTTCTCATTTTTTACAGTGCACCAGACTGTGACATTTCACACTGAGAAACTGTCATGTATCCGGTTGCATGTTGTGAGAGGCCTGAAATATAAGTTCCTGTCAACAATTCAAAACATGAATTTGCACACGACACATTTGAATACTCCCCTAGTTCATCAAATTAGCAGCTCATATTTTTGATGCACCGTAACGTTCTTGTGATAAACTCATCAGCAAGGTGTAATTTACAAATTTGCAGCATTTTCAGCAAATATTTTTTCCAGCTGTCATTGCCATTTGTGTGTTTTTTTATATCTATATATCTGCCATTTATCTATCTGTCTAGGCTTCTTTACAATATATATTTGAGTTTTTAATCTGTTCTGTATAGGTTAAGCCTTTGAAAGTTAATGTTTAAGCAGCCATCATGGTTATAGCCTACTTGATATGTCACTCATCTTGAACTAGAAGCACTGAAGTTCATCATATCTTCTGTAATAATTTCCATCATTAGGATCCCAAGTAAATCTACATAGATCACTATAACAGCAGACTAAAGGAGAATAAACTGTGGCCAGAGCAGTTACTAAGCTAGTTACAGCAGCTGGTTACAGAAACGTTAGCTTTGAGAGAGTCATGTTTGTT